CTTTTCACCTTTGATCCCGTTGAACATTTTGTTAATCATGCATACTGTTTCTGTAATTAACTTATCACATAGCAAAGATAAAAAAAGTCGTTCGTTTATTTTCAAATTATTTAATAGTATTAAACTTTTTACTATTGTAAAAGTTCCAAAATTTATTGATTTGTGTAAAGAATTTTGGATTTTTTAGACAATGCAGATTTTATGGCAATTTTGCATATAAAAAAACTAATAAAATCTAACAATTCTCTACGGAAACATTGATTCTTTATATTTGAAAAAAGTTTTTCATGGTTTTATACATCGAAATATTGAAACCGCGTTAACATTACTACAAAACAGAGGCACCCACAAGCAATTTGGTTATCAACTATATTTTTATATGCATTGAACGATTTTAAAATTCTAAATTAAATTGATTCAAAAATTCATGAATTGTTCTATTGGTTAGACGAATAGCTATGGTTCCAATCCGTGAAATGAGTGAGGAAGCAAAAACGTTTTTTTTTGTGGGCCAAGGGTTGCATTTTTACTATATAACCGATTTTACAAGACTTGCATTTTCGATATAAATGCTTTATGGTTATTTAAGATTGTCTCTTTTCGGAAATAACCGTTTAATGGTTATTTCCAAGGGTTGCGTCTTCTTTATATAGCCGTTTTTTTAAGAGTTTCATTTTTCGATAAAACCGTATAATGGTTATTTTCAAAGGTTGTATCTACTATATAGATAACCGCTTTATGGTTGTGTTCTTTCGAAAATAACCTCTTTATAGTTATTTCCAAAAACTCCGTCTTTTCGGGAAAAATCGTTTATTGGTTATTTTGAAAGATTGCGTTTATAATTATTTCTAAGAGTTGTCTTTTTTTTTATATATATAATCTTTTTTTCAAAAGTTTCTTTTTTATATAGAACAGCTTCATGGTTATTTAAGGTTGTGTCTTTTAGTAAAAAACCGTTTTATGGTTATTTCTAAGGGTTGCGTCTTTTTTATATAACTGCTTTCTAATTATTTCGAAAGATTGCATTTAATATGTAGATAACCGCTTTATGGTTGTGTTTTTTCGAAAATAATCTTTTTTATGGTTATTTCCAAAGATTATGTTTTTTAAATATAATCTTTTTATCGTTATTTTCAATATTTTGTGGTTGTGTCTTTTCAAAAGTAACCGATTTCCAAAAATTGTGTATTTTCAGTGGAAAAATTGCAAAAAAACCACTTTTTATCTGCACATTTACAAAAATGCAATTTAGGGGTGTTCGCAAAAATGTCCCTAATTATATATTTTTAAACCATATATCTTAAAATTCTAAACACTAAAAAATGTTTTGACCCCTAAATCCCTCTAAACCCTCATAACTAAATTCTAATAGAATATAATTAACCCAAATATAAATAATATAAAGAAAAAATAATTTTGAAAAAGTGATATTTTTGTAAAGATTTCAAAAGTATGGTATTTTTGTAAAGTGGCACTTGAAAAGTGATATTTTTTAAAATTTGTCTTAAAACAATTGTTTTCTTTTCTAAAAAAAAAAAACAATTAAGTTTTCACTAATTACATCCTAAATTAAAATAAAGTGGCTTATGATTGTGATGCGGCCACAAGCTCCTCCTCAGAAACCCTAAAGTCCACCGTCTAATTCTGCCATCTACGCCGTCCAATTTCTTCTTCTCCGATATCCGCCTTCTAACAACGGTGCTGATCCCTTCAGCAGCCGAGTTTAACCAGCATCGTCTGCGTTTGGAGTTCGAAAAATTGTTCAATTCTAGCTTCACCAATGAAACGACGGTTAGTCTCTTTGCATTTGTATGTTCTCTGGTTTCTTAAATACAAGCTCCACAACTCAAGAACCAGAACTCATCGTGTCTTT